ATAAACAATCATAATATGTAAAGAGATATACTATGGATATCGTGGTAAGCTTAGATATAGCGTGGCAAACCTAGATATAGCGTGGCAAACCTAGATATAGCGCGGGGCTCAGAGATAGTATTGTGGAATTATTCTGATCATAGAGGAAAAGCTTAGTGTGAAATCTTGAGGACGAATTGGGCCCTTGCGGATCAAGAATCTTCATATATGTTTATAGATTATATTCTCTGGTCGGAACCAGAACGGGAAATTTTGGGATATAAGAAATTGATAAACAGGATTATTTGGATAATTAAGATAGGGGGACGGGTTGGGGGATCTGACTTAAATACGTGTTTTTTTGGGTTGACTCTCCTCAAATTATATTTGTCAAATTAAAATTTTAAAATAATATGTTATTTTAATAAAAGTTGTATTAAAATTATGTCTCATCTTTTTGATAACCCCACACCCTAGCTTACGCGGAACCGGCAAGACATAGTCATCACAGGATGGCTATGTCTCCTAAAGCCTAAGGTTGGGGTTCGACCTCGGTTGGTGGCCGCGGTAGCCGGGGTAAGGTTTTGGATCGTGGCTTGCCTTGTCACGGTTCGAGCCCAGTACCACTAAAGACCCGCCGTGTGGGAAAAGGATGCACGTTAAATCTGTCGAAAGCTAAACGTTTTTCCGTTGATGTGGTGTTAGAGGGGGGGGTGCCAGTGGGGTGCGTCCACGCATTGACCATGGTTAAAAATTACGTGTTCCGTCGCCAAAGCCCCTTACGAACAAGCGACGTTAATTTTCACCACCACTGACACCGGTTGAGTTAGGATTTTCTGGATGCAAAAGGGAAAACCCTGTTATGTGATTATGTGGCATGTAAAAGATCCCTTGAGTATCAATTTGGTTCTGGTACTCCCGGCAAAATTAAAAACCACGGCAATATTAAACATTCGACGAGAGCTTGTCCAAATTTGGTTGTGAGAGCCACCGCTACTGGTGCCACCAAGAAATGACTCTTACATTTGGAGATTTGTGCCGTGTCTGCAAAGGCTAAGTTATTGAAATGCAGACCGATTAGAAAAAAAAAAACGATTTTGCCATGCGTTTTAAAATGAGACCATGAAGAGTATTTATTCACCAAATGTTAGAAAAAAAGCGCAAAGAGTGTTCTGAACTCTGAATTGAAAATTAATCTTATTATACGTAATGAAATATTTATTTAAGTACTGAGAAAGAAAATAGTTGGAAAATGGTAAAAAGAAAACAATTGCTAAGACTGTAAGAGCAACAGGATCACCGGGCTCTAAAGTTCGCATTTGGAATGTAACTAGAATTTCTGATACAATGGAGTTCTAATTGGAACACAGTTTAAATATTGTACAGTTCTCATCAATAGAGATCTTTGGGGGTGGGTTTTCGATGGTGGGCAGAGGAATAGCAGCCACGAAAGGCTTGTTTTGATGCGGCGATGGAGACAACTTCTTACGCATCAGATGCTTGGGTTTAACAATGACGTGGCTGCTGAGAACTTGACATTTGATTGATGTTGGGAAGGGAAGATTTTCCCCAGTTGTTAGAAAGGCGAAACACACACACACACACACCACACACACACACACACACAAAAAACACACACACACACACACACACACACACACACACACACACAAAAGTAATATAAATTTTTTTGTAGAAGTCAATTCCTACTTAAGTGAACAAAGAAAATTTTTATATATTTTAGTTCCTTTTTATTAAATAATTACAATTAATATAAATATGTATATACATATGACAGATACAATTTTCCTTGCAATTTTCCATTTTATATATGGTGTTGGACTATTTTTGTGTTTGTTTGTGTTACTATTTATTAATTAATTAAATTTTATTATTCTAATAAAATAGTAAAAGTAAAAAAGAAATCGCATTCTTAGAAATTAAGCCATCCAGATGGGATTCGAACCCATGACCTTTCGAGTAGAAGCCCAACGCGCTATCCATTGCGCTACAGGAACACAAGGATCGACTTTTCTTTCTATAATGCTGTTCGACTATTATTTTTGTTTATTACTATTTGTTCGTTTTTTAATTTAATGAATGAATTAATATTTAAAAAACTGTATTAACATCAAGTGTTATCCACTACAAGTTTAAAAAAATGTATTTGAACTTTAATGGGTGAATAGAAATTATTTTATTAACGATTGAAAATTCGAATAAGATATATATATATATATATATGATTTGTCGTTTTATTATCTGAAAATCTCCTTTTTCTGCAATTGCAGTTGATGGTGCTGATGATTAGAAAACCGACAGTGCTTGTCAGCATTGGAAAGAGACATATCTTACAGTGTCAGTCTTCGGCGAAAAAAATTTTTTTGAACTACAAGGTAGACAAAAATTGCGTTCTATAAATAGCAGTTTTCCTCCATTAATAACAGTTTCTTAAATATTAATATATATACACGATATTTTTTTCCATCTGACAATGTATTCCTAATATGAATCCTGCTCCTAACACTAGGCAAAATAGCCTTAAAAATTTATTAAAATGTTTTTTTTTAAAAAATTTATTACTACGTTAACTTTTTCATTCCTAGGCACAATAGAACTTTGCAGATACAACACATCTATTCTTTTATAGTTGGAAAATAAATAAATGCAATTTTTCATCTTATACTGTTATTCATCCTATATATTAAAACATTTTCAGTTTTTCCAAATCTAATGTTGTAAGCTTAATTTTAAATATTCTATTCTATACATTATTTTATTTTATGTAGTTTTTGTTTAGTCAAAATGTGTAATAAGTGCATTAGTTGTATTTTTTTTAATGAACACGAACTATATATAACTCATTCAGGACATTTGTGTAATCTTGTATGTACTATTGTTTAATAAATATAATTATTACTTAAAAAAATGTAACTTACAACAAATCTATCTGGCACAATAAACATGTTCATTATTATGAAAAAAGAAGCGGAATGCATTTTGTATTTGTAAAGAAGATGGGCTTCACACAATAGCGTGGTGGTACATTTTTTGTACTCTCACATTTTCATACTAGCGATGCACATGTGAAGTACTAATTATTGTACTATTGACTTATTAAGTTACATAATATATGTACTTACCTGATTTGTATCAAATATCACAAGAATCACTTTCACTTACAATTTAAAAATACATAACACAGTCACTTTTAACAGACTCACAGTTGATCAAAGAATGAACTACTGCATAAACCCATTACATATAATGAGCTTCTGACATCTATTGGAAACTTGAGTAACTGTTAGGAGTTGACCTCTGTGGTGGTTCAGAGAATGTACCTTATAGCATCAATTTCTGAGGCATTCAAACAAGGGGTTCGTTTTATGTACCATATCACGCAATAAACGAATAAGAATTGGTGTTAAACATATGTACTACCAAGCACGAAATATAGCTAAATGATTAACTTTACCTAAAGGCTATGTAGAAAGATTTTGCTTCATTTTGTAAAACATTATACATTAATGTATTCTTAGCACAGGAATGAGCTTTGAATCTTAAATCACTTTTCAAAAATAAATTTCATATTTAAAAAGTTATCTTTGCTGAAAAAAAAAGTCTAATAGGCGGATAATTTTTTTAAAATTATATGCAAATTAAGAAAACTTTTAAACAATGAATTTTTTAGCTGTTTCATCTTATTGGTGATTATTCAATTAGAAAAAGAAGTACATTAGCAAAATAAAGTAAATTGCAACGGAACAACTCGAGATATTGATGCGGGGTGACATTTTCTCGATGTCGCATTCCCACAGATTAACTAAATTTATACTAAATAAAACATAGGATGTGGGACACATAATGAACATTTATTGATACCTACAAAACACGACGTTCTAAATCAGGGGTACTAAACGTTTTTTCTGCTGGGCCGGAAACATATACAGTAAGACCCCGTTTAACGCGGGGTATACGTTCGATGAAAGTAGAGCGTATTATGAAACAGAGCGTTAAACGAGGTTATCTCATCATGTAAATAATGGGGTTAGGGGAAGACAGGTAGAAAATTAATCAGGTATTTTACCATTAAATTTATTAAATATGTTTTTTATAACAATATAACAAAAATTTATTTCTTACAAATATAGAAATAAAATAAACGAATATACATATAAAAAGAAAAATTCGAAGTCTTGGTTTAATGGTATATTGCGTTCAATTTAGTCGTCAGTCCATATAGAAAGTTGTTTTTCCATTTCCTGTATTTTATTATTTCTAGAACGGGTAATTCTAGTTGCAAAGCTTGTCGTAGTTGCAGTTGCCGATATATGACAGTATTTTTTATTTATTCTTAAGAATGGTCCTTATTGTTGAAGTTGCCAAATTCAATGCAGCACCCATTTGAGATTGACGTTCACCAGTATCTAATCTTCTAATCACTTGCATTTTAGTTTCTAGTGAAAATGCTTTTTCTTGTTGCTTTATTTTCATGTTTTTTATTGTCACCCATGATAAAACATAAAAATCATAATATTTGTCATTATAGCAGTCGTTATATTATATAAATTTATACTTACAATAACGTCAACAAATGTTTGAAACGTAAAAGTATGTTCGTATAACACCACAGTAAAGAAGAAATACAAATGAACTGCTTCGGATATCGGGAAGCCTAATGCTGCGTGCAATTTCGAGGAATCCCACAATTAAAATAAAATAGCGTTAAATCGAAACAGCGCTAAGCGAAACAGAGTTAAGCGGGGTTTTACTGTATCAACCATTTTACGCGGGCCACATAAATATATTAGTTATTTCACGCGGGCCGCAACATGAGGATAAATTGGGGAGGAGGAGGGGGGAGATAAATGCCTTAAGACCAAGATAACATTGGAAATTTAAAATGTGGAAAAATGTTCAAAGTATTATAAATCCAATTATCAATTATCAATTTTATAATTATCAATTTTTGTATTTTTTACTTTTGTCACTAACACTAAATTAGAAGCATTTAAGAACTAATCCTTCACAATTTTTGCATCAGCAAACGATTTCATATGATTACGAATAATGTAACAAACTTTATAGGATGTCCTTGTTACCGTTGTGATATTACCACTGACAGAACACTTTGTTGCTGTTGCAAAGTTTTTATTCAAGAAAGCCTATTTATCACCTCTTGAAAGAGATCTTCTAGGAAAAGTGTCATTGAATGAATTCTGTTTATTGGTATTTTTTAAATACAGCACTGTCGTGAAAAATCAAACAATTACTGATCCATGTTTGTTTTTCACTACAGAATAGTCAACCTCCTAATCGTCTTGAAACGATATATTTTCTTCGAATATTTTTCTCTTGCAAGATATGAAAGATGGTTAAAAATTAGCTCCGCCAATAAAATTGTCGCTACTAAGATGTTGTCTGTTATCACTAACCGTAACCCAGTGCTTCTCAAACTTTTAATACTTGCGACTCAATATTTAATCACAATTTTCATCGCCCCCATCCATACAATAACAATGTATTGAATTCGATAATACGATACTTTGAGGCTAAAGCTACAATACAACTTTAACCTCTCTGCCGCCGGCGTATATAAACGTCTTTCTCAGCAAGTGCGCAAATTGCCCTGGGCGTATATATACGTCTTTTCGAAATACTGTTCCCTGCTATCCATAAAATGATTCAGAAGGGTTTGGAATGTAATAAATGGACTCTGACAGTGATTGCGAAGAATTCACATATTTCAGAGAGTTTACTTATTTATTCCTCCCCCCCCCATATATCACATATGCTCACCTACGTGGAAAACGATGGCATTGGGAAGCGAATCGCAAAACATTTAATCGGCATTTAAGAGATTAATTATAAACTGTACAAAATTATCAAGATAAGTGATTTTTGTACATAGTTTTATATTTAATAAGCCCATGGGGTCACACTGGTAATTATACTTAACTTAGTATAGTTAAATTAACTATAAAATACGTTGTGCAGTACTTATATATTTATAAGTGTATTATATCAGTGGAAATGAGTATTTTATTTTTCATTGCGTCGGAATGTATTCTGTTTGCTTATGTTCAGTAAATTAATAATTTTTAAAATAATCTTTTGTTTTCGACTATTCAATAGGCTCGCGCCCCCCTCCTAGGGTTATCACGCTCCCTAGGGGTGCGCCCCACAGTTTGAGAAGCACTGCCGTAACCGTTACAAATAGACAAAGAACATCAATTGGTACCCGTACGACATCGTTAGCAAATTGCAAAATTGATATATTTGATTTCTTGACAAAGAATTTCTCACCAAATTTTTAATACAATGTTCTTAAATAAGTAAATTTCTTAGAGCAATGAACCATGACTGGGCTACTTAAAAAGGTTCGGTGGGCCGCAGGTTGAGTATCGATGTTCTAAATAGACAGAAATTTTTTGTTCTTCTAAGTAAAAAAGAAGAGTGTGCTTGAACACTCGCGTGTCTTGATTGGCTGCACGTGACTAATGTATGAAGTGCTGCCATTTGCAACAAAACTTTTTAATTTCGGAAGCATCATGAAAGAAGTTGTGATTAAAATTGTATCAACTTACTTCTTCTTTGATGTTATATTTTTCTCTTACAATTTCATGTGTACCTTCTCCAAAATACATCTCATAATCTGGATAATCGTCGGATGGCTGTACTTGAACCTTGTTCATAAACGCAATGTTACTTACTCCAGCTACTGAAGTTAAAGGACCTGTACAGAGAGAACAAAATATAAAATAACTATTCGCATCTATTAAAATGAGCACATTAAGTAATGAATGTGTGTTTCAGTCATACATTCAAGTATGATTTCAAAGAGTAAATTATGAGTATGATTTTTCTCAATGCTATTTATTTCACATTGCTTTGTATTTTTCTCTATTTCTATATATTTTTTATTTGAATATTTTACAAAAATATTTCGAAATTTCACTGTAGCCGTCATGTCGAATCCGTTTCTATTAGCAACTGATGAATCTGGATGGTACAGATG